TCAAGCCATTCTCATGTCTCAGCCTCCCGAGTAGCTGGGATTACAGATACCTGCTACCATGCCTGGCTAATTTTTGTAGTTTTAGTAGAGACGTAGTTTCACCATGTTGGCCAGGCTGGTCTCGAACTCCTGAGGACAAGTTATTTTGACTAATCTCTTAGCCTCAGTTTTCTTATCTTATAAAGGGAATAATTCTTGCCTTGTGTACTTCATGAGGTTTTGAGAGGTTCAAATTAAGTAATAAATGTGGTAGACTTTGAAAACATAAAACTGCCCCATAGGCAGTTTAAGAAATGTTAAGTAAATCTGTGATGAATACTTTTGAAAGCAAAGGTTCACTTTCTAATTAGTTTTGTATAAAGCAGGCTGTTCTTACAGGATTTGCTTCAAAGTGGGATGTGCACTTATTCCGGAGGGCATGATTTGAGCTGAGATTTATGGTACTTTCGGGTCATGCATAGTGCTACTCTGAGTGGACTTGAAGAGCTTATCTTTTGTCTTCTCAGGGGCTCGGTTTGATGATGGTGCTGGAGGTGACAATGAAGTGCAGAGAACAATGTTGGAACTGATCAATCAGCTTGATGGTTTTGATCCTCGAGGCAATATTAAAGTGCTGATGGCCACTAACAGACCTGATACTTTGGATCCAGCACTGATGAGGCCAGGGAGATTGGATAGAAAAATTGAATTTAGCCTGCCCGATCTAGAGGTAAGAAAATCATTTCATTTTAGGAAAGGGATTTTTGAAGTGTTTTCTTCCTGTGATGTTTTTTGCATTTTCATATTTGTCAATTCTCTCATTTTTAGGGTCGGACCCACATCTTTAAGATTCACGCTCGTTCAATGAGTGTTGAAAGAGATATCAGATTTGAATTGTTAGCACGACTGTGTCCAAATAGCACTGGTAAGTAGAAAGTTCTTGCTTATATTTGCTGGTCTGTCTGCTCAGGCTGCTTTAATTAAGCCTGTTTATTTTCTTTTTGTTTGAAAGGTGCTGAGATTAGAAGTGTCTGCACAGAAGCTGGTATGTTTGCCATCAGAGCACGGCGAAAAATCGCTACCGAGAAAGATTTCTTGGAAGCTGTAAATAAGGTCATTAAGTCTTATGCCAAATTCAGTGCTACTCCTCGTTACATGACATACAACTGAACCCTGAAGGCTTTCAGGTGAAAACTTTAGATTGGAATCCTAACCTTACATAGACTTGTTAATAACCACTTCATAAACAAATAAATGGCTCCAAAATTGTATGTTTCCATATCTCTTCTTATAATAAAAGGTGATCGCTAATGTTATTAGACAGAAAAGCTTGTTAGAATATATTTTGACTGTTTTTTGACCCACTCCCATTTAAGGGTTTCACAGCAAACAAAGTGCTTGCTTAGATGGCTTATATCCTGGGCATATGCTGGCTGGGTGCTCTACATAGAAATTCTCATTGTATCCTCCCATCTGTCCATTGAGGAAGATTATCAAATGGATCTTCATCTAATGGATTCATAAACTTTCCTACTTACTTGTAGTGGCAAAGCTGGGTTTCTGGTCCAAGTTTGTCGGCTCCATTACCTATGCTCCTATTATCCTCTTCTGTCCCGCATCAAAGTAGCTCACTTAGGCTTATGACCACATGCATTATGATAGTTTCTCACCACCATGTTGAATAATAAAAGCTTTGGCCAAATCTTTTTTAAAGTAAGAGAAACATTGGATGTATATGTTTTACATTGCAATTTGATTTCAAATTAATCAGGAAGAATTAGTGATTTTAATGAGCAGTAAAGTAATACAATAAAGCAGAAAGAAAAATGTTCAGCCAGAGGTGAAAGAGTAGTAAAAAAGACAAAAAAAAAAAATGTGTGTACATATGATCTAATTTAGAAAATCCGGAATTGGCTTCATACAGAAAAGTGATTACTTTCATTTTACAAATTAGTTTAAAATTTTGGTAAAATGTCTGTTGTTAGGCTTCTGGTCTACAGTGAGGTATTTTAAAAATAAAGGTTATATTAGAATCCTCAACAGATCTTTTTAAAATTATCTCCTGTGTAACCACCACCAAATCCTATCTTCTACCACAGTTACCCCTTCCCCCAATGCCAAGACCAAAGCACAATAATGAATATTTTTATTGAAGTTCGATATTCATAAATAAGTTGCAAAATAAAGTTGGACACATTTTAAATTTACAATAGAAAAAGTTGACAACATAGAAAATGCTGTGTTGCACTGAAATATGGAAAATTATGAAAGTTTTCAAGAAATTAAAGCCCTTTATAAAATCCAACCAACATTCTTGATTTTTCATTTTTATGAACTTTATCAGAAAAATTCATCTTTTTAAACCCTGCTCTAGTCTTCCTTGAGGAATTAAATAGACGAAACTATTTTCAGGTTATGCTTACAATAAAATACACTCAAGAAAATGACTGAATATGTATGTTTTTGAATGTTTTGATTAAATAAATGTATGCATTTAGAACACACTCTCAAGTCTTTCCACTTTGTCATGGCCACATGCTCATATATACCAATTAAAGACAACTCAAATTAGATAGTGTTGAGCACACTCTGTTCTAACGATACAGAGTGACTATTGTGATAATTAATTTAGGTCCATAAGGAAAATCTAATTGGCTACACATCAAATATAAAATCAACTATTTGAAAAATTTGGGTGTTTCTGTCAAGGCATATTTATGCAGGTAGCATCAACATTGTCTAGGTCAGCATGTTTGTACCCTACTTAAAAAGATGACAGACATTTACCAATAACTTCTTCCACCTAAAATAGATGTGTCTATATACATGTGTGTAGATGCACACACACATATATATATGTGTCAGGGTGCTAAGTTAGAATACAAAGGATTTATGACTTTAGAAATATATATTGTAGAATCCCATTTAAAAACTTAACATTAAAATGTGATTAGGTTTATTAAAAAACTCAATTTTCATGATGCTTCTGAGGTTTATTTGTTAGGTAAAGTGAAATGCAATATACCAGTACAATGAAAAGCCTGGTACACCTTTCTCAAAGGCCAGGTGGAGTTTTAAGATGCTCAAACTTGATAAAATCCAAGTCACTAAGCAGGCACGTTACCTGGTGTGGGGCTAGCTTTTACCATTGTGTTGTTGGGATTGGAGGGGCTTCACAACCATTGCCTGCATTTTGGTTTGAAGAATTCCATAATACTTTCACAGTTCTCAAACTTTTATGAGCATTCAGAACAGTAAGAATCCAAACATCCTGAATCCTAAAGGCACTCCTGAAGGGTGAGGTGCACTAAAAAGGACCAATAGCATTTTTTGCACTCAGTAAAGCATACAGGCTCACACCGAGGAAGTTCTGTTTGATTTTAGAATTTAAATTGATTTACTATCTTTAAAGGGGCAGACATAATAGAGCCTTCCCCACCACATACTCTTCCCTCCCTCATCCCCACACAAGGGCACACCCCCACCCCCCAACACACACAAAAACACACCCATCCACCCCAGGACAGATTCACTGGGTTTGCTACCCTCTTTTCTTCATCTACACAAGAGAGCAGACTCATTTTCTCAAAAAGTGTACACTCAGAGGCTGGTACTGTCTTTCTCTGCTAAACAGGTAAGGACACAGGATCAAACCACACGGAGTGGATGTTTTAGATGTTTCCTGCGAACTACAAAATGAGCTATTCCAGGGCTTGAAGAGGATCCATACCCTTAACAGTTTCTCGGGTTCCACTGCAGATGAGATTGGCAATTGGGATCCCATTATCAGCTGCCATATTACAGAGTCAGTGTCTAAGACATAGATTGGAATTTCCTGGGCCCTGTTTCACAAACGTTTTCAAACATATTCCATTGATTCATGAGACAGAGATCAACCACTGTCATACCGCACAGGATTTGAGAAGGTCAAAGGACTTTTCTTTACGGGACCTTCTTCAAAACAGTGCTTTCCCATATATTGCCATAAAATAAGGCTGGTCCTTAGATTATGTAGATTATACCCATTTTGATAGGACCATATGAACCTGAATTTGAATCAGGGTGGAAAAACATAGAAGATACAGTAGCAGCTATTAAGGCCCAGAAAGAACAGGTGGGCTTACACATTATTTCCTTGAAAGGCAGAGATAAGCCTGTAAGACAAAAAAGGTCAGGAAATTTTCACTGTATGAAATAATTCTAAGTAAAACATTCTGACATATTTACATACGGATGAAATGTATTTTGAAATGCACTCGTTCTCAGATGCTAAGCAAAATGATAAAACAAAAATATATTTCCCTCCTTAAGACTTGGTGCTTTTAATATACATAACAATTCTATTCAAAACAGTTTAACAGTAAAGCTAAATACAAATGTGTAACAGACAAATACCTTTTTTTGTACACTACTTTCTTTTTTTTTTTTTTTTTTAGATGGAGTCTCGCTTTTGTTGCCCAGGCTGGAGTGCAGTGGCACGATCTCTGCTCACTGCAAGCTCCACCTCCTGGGTTCATGCCATTCTCCCGCCTCAGTCTCTCGAGTAGCTGGGACTACAGGCACCCGCCACCACACCCGGCTAATTTTTTTGTATTTTTAGTAGAGACGGGGTTTCACCGTGTTAGTCAGGATGGTCTCGATCTCCTGACCTCATGATCCGCCCGCCTCGGCCTCCCAAAGTGCTGGATTACAGGTGTGAGCCATCACGCCCAGCCTGTACACTACTTTCAATCTATCAAGCACGGTATCTGCTGGTGCTAAAGAATGTGCAATCAATTTTTTCTTTTTTTGAGACGGAGCCTGGCTCTGACACCCAGGCTGGAGTGCAGTGGCGTGATCTCAGCTCACTGCCACCTCCGCCTCCCGGGTTCAAGCCATTCTCCTGCCTCAGCCTCCCGAGTAGCTGGGACTACAGGTGTGCACCACCATGCCTAGCTCACTTTTGTATTTTTTAATAGAGACAGGGTTTCACCATGATGGCCAGGCTGGTCTCAAACTCCTGACCTCGTGATCTGCCCGCCTCGACCTCCCAAAGTATTGGGATTACAGGTGTGAGCCACTGCGCCCGGCCAAAGTATTTTAACATAGTTTAAAATCCTTAAATTCTACTTAAATGGCTGAAATGATATGGGCTCTTTTACAAAAGTTTCTAGTGTAAGCTGAAGTTCTACAACTACATGCTCTTTCAGAAGGCAGTCTGCATCAGAATGCAGATGTATCTGATCTCATGTGATGATTGCAAAGGAAATAACTAAGCAAATCTAAATTCCACTCTAGAATTAGCTAAAGTTTTGATTAAAAGGAGGAGTTTATTTTGAATTAAATTAGTAAAGACAGTGAGAAACCTGATAGGAGTTAACTTGAACACATACACAGGGTTTGGTTGCAAGTAGGCCATGCTAACAATTCCACTGGGATCTGACTACTTTCTCCTGGCAGTATCTTATTCATGAAAACTATAACAAGATGTCAATAAGACAACATATTAAAGAAAGAACAAACTCACTATCAGCAGGAACTCTTAGCAGAGGAGGCTTTAGACAGGTTGGCTAATACCTATGCTTTGATTTATAGTGAGCTGATAGTTACAAACAACTGAAAGTGACAAATTGGTTTAAAGGTATCCTCCTCCAACCTTTGACATTCCTTGTTTCTGTGGAATGAGTATGATGAGCATTATGCTTATTCCTAGGCTGAACATTGAGTTTGATGTGTAATGAACTGATAGTTGTTATGAACTTCTAAGGAAGATTTAAGTTACACCTGGGGGTTAGTTTTCTTAAAAACATGGTCTTTAATGCTACTTCATGCGTAGCAACAATAACAAAGCTTTTAAGGACTTATACTGGCCACGGTCATGACACTTTGAGCATCAAAAAGAACATAATGGATTGAAACCCATTAAAACTTTCAAAATTCACAAGACCACCATCACACCAGAAAAGGGAACTCTAAAAAAACCCCACTAATTTGTCACCATCTAATAAACCAGTTATTTACTTTGAAGTTCATAATTAAATGAAAATAATAAAGCATTCAACCTGCCCTGCTAGTAGAACTATAGGTGGGTAAGGATGACCAACAGCTCAAGTGGAGAAGGGAAAGTTATAGTTCACATAGAACAATCAACTAATAAATGCAGAAGAAATGAAAGAACTAGACAACCTACTCACAAACCTTAATAAAGTTAATGATTTAGCAAAGAATTACCACCCAATGTTAAAACTCCTGGTAAATGGCTAGTGGGGGACTGGACATTCATTCAATGCCAAAGGAATACCACACAGATAAGTCTGTAGTCACAAAGGGGAAAATCTAACTGGAGGATCAGACTCATGCTGATCCACTCATCTAGCTTAGATCACTAGATTAGTTAATGGTACATCAATTAGCTATTACATGTTTTCTGAAGTGATGCGATATGAAGCATGTATCTTATCTATGATATAATCTAGCACAAAATGCTCTAATTTGAATCTATAAAGGCTTTAGATATAACTTTCAGATTGCAGGTAGTAAAGGCAATATAAAAATAAGTTAAACAACACCATGAAAAAGCAACTAGGCAAATTCACAAGACAGGATTCTATAGGACAGCTGCCCCAGTCTCTTTAACAAGTCAATGTCATAAAAAAGGAACCGTGCTAGATTAAAATAGACGTAAGGGACTTTAAAGGACATGACCAGTTGCAATGTAAGGTCATAGAATGAATATCAGTTTGCACAAACCAACTGCAAATTTGGGGACAATTGGGGAAATTTAAATATTGTCTAAGGCAAAAAAATGTGCTGGAATGAGAAAGTGGAGATTGTTGATTAAAGAAAAATCGGTTATAAAACACTATAGATGTGGTCTGTCTTTGGTGAAAAATGTAAATGTATATGCATGGAAAAAGATCTGGAAGGACATTAAGATGTTAACAGTGGTAATCTCTGGTGGAAATACAATGTTTTATCTTCTTATTTTTGCTTGTCTATTTTTTCAAAAATGTCCTCAATGCATTTATATTGCTTCTATAATAAATAAAAGGTTATTTTAAAACAAGAACTTCTAGAAAATTGCAGTTTCTTTCTTCTGTTACATAACTAATTATAGACAGTCTGTAGACCAACAAGTACAAAAACAAAGAACCACTAATTATCTGGCGACAGCATATCCTATTCATAGGTTAAAAGTACTTAACTGAAATAAATTTTTCAGTGCTTAGCTTACAAAGATAATACTAAAATGTAGCAGAAATGCCTCTCCATAATAAATGCAGGCAACAGGCCAATTTATCTTTGAAATATTCAATTAAAAAAACACAAGTACGATACATCTTGCTAGGTGTCATTCACCCTCCAAATCAAGCCTCGACTACTAGTATTTACCCTTAGGAAAAAAAAAATCTAGTGTCTAGTATTTAAAACGTGTAAATTATGAACTTCACGAGAGGCTTATAACCCCATCCTAGGGTGAGGTCCTCATCTATGCCTCAGGAGTGGCAGGAGTGGCATTGGGCTCCAAGTCCTCCTGGGGAGGGGCAGCCGAGGCTTCCTGTTCAGCAAGTGCCTCTCTACGTTGGCTGCCTAAAACCGCATCATGAATGCTGTGGAACAGCAGCTCCCATAGGGCAGGATTTTCAAAAAATCTATTCCGAGTGAGGTCATTCACAACTTGTGCTATTAAAAGAAGAAAAGAAAATTAGTCCACACTCTGGGTATCAGTCTTCAACAATTAAAAAAAGATAACACTTCCATATAGTGCTTTTTTTTTGTTACTGCTTTTTTTTTTTTTTGAGACAGAGTCTCACTCTGTCACCTAGGCTGGAGTGCAGTGGCGTAATCTCAGCTCACTGCAACCTCCACCTCCTGGGTTCAAGCACATATAGTTTAAATATTAAAATGCTATAGGAAAAGTTTCACTCCAATTCCTGTCTCCACCCATCATACCCGCAATCCCAGGAAACTACTTTCTGGTGTGTTCTTCCAGGATTTCTCTATGTAAATATAAATAAATGCGTATTATTTATTTCTCACTTTTCTTATCCCCAAAACAGCATATTTTATATATTTGGGGATAAGAAAAATGGGAAATATATATATATATAAACACATACACATATATAAATATAAACATATATAAATATACACATACATACACACACATATATATACACACACACACACATATATATAAAAAGCTGTTTTGGGGATAAGAAAAGTGGGAAATAAAAATATATATATTAATGTTATAAATATAACATATATATCTAATTCTGAACCCTTTTTGCTTAATTTTTTATCACTACATCATATTCTATTGTATAGATGTACCCAGTTTATTTAACTAGTCCCTTTTGTTTGGTACTTGAGTTTTTTCTTTTGTTTTATAACAATGCTGTGATGATCAACAACATACATGTGTCACTTTGAACATATGCAGCATGTTGCTGGATTTTCTGTGTCGAAAGGTAAATGCACTTATAATTTTGAAAGCTAGTATCAGTCTGCCCTCCATAGGGGCTGTTGCATTTTGTGCTACCATCAGTAAAGTCTGAGAAAGCCCGTTTTCCCACCATATGCCTATGGAGCATGTTGTCATTTATTTTTGATTTTTGGTAATCTTACAGGTGAAAACTGGCATCTTTATGCAGATTTCATTTTCAAGCACTTTTTCTATTATTAATTTTTTTTTTCTTTTAAATAAAGATGGGCTCTCACTATGTTGCTCAGGCTGGTCTTGAACTCCTCCTACCTTGGCCTCCCAAAGTGTTGGGATTATAGGCGTGACCACCACACCCAGCCTCAGGCACTGTTTTACTTTTTTTGTTTTTCCTTTTTATGAGACAGCGTCTTACTCCTCACCCAGGCTGGAGGGCAGTGACGTGATCTTGGCTCACTGCAACCTCCGCCTCCCAGGTTCAAGTGATTCTCCTGCCTCAGTCTTCCAAGTAGCTGGGACTAAAGGCATGTGCCACCAAGCCGGGCTAATAGTTTGTATTTTTAGTAGAGACGGGGTTTCACCATATTAGCCAGGATGGTCTAGATCTTCTGACCTCAGGTGATCCACCCGCCTCAGCCTCCCAAAGTGCCGGGATTACAGGTGTGAGCCACCATGCCTGGCTCCTTTTTTAAAAATTCTTTTTCTTTTTTTTTTTGGAAACAAGTTCTCATTCCTTTGCCCAGGCTGGAGTGTAGTGGCGTGATGTTGGCTCACTGCAACTTCTGCCTCCCAGACTCAAGACACCCTCCCACCTCAGCCTCCCGAGTAGCTGGGATTACAGGCATGCACCACCATGTCTGGCTAATTTTTGTATTTTTAGTAGATGGGGTTTCGCCATGTTGCCTAGGCTGGTCTTGAACTCCTAGGCTCAGGCAATCTACCTGCCTTGGCCTCCCAAAATGCTGGTATTACAGGTGTGAGCCACCACACCCGGCCTCAAGCACTGTTTTAACCAAAACGTAATATAAAACAAAAATAGCAGGCAAAGTATTCCCAAACCATTGGACAGAGAGACAAGCAACCTGAATGATTATATGTAACTGTTTATGGCAGTCATTAGATAATTGTTACTGTAGTAATGTATATAATTACTATATTTATAGCAGCCATTAATATTATAATAAACGATGGCTTCTTGGCTCCTTTCCTCCAACTCCAGTTCAGGAGGTTGTCACAAGTAACTTGTAATATGAATGCCTCCATGTGGCTAATTTCAAAGCTGGCCTTAGAGTGATTTTTCAGAGGAATAATTTTCATTTTTATAAAATAATTAAAATTCAGGACATTTCCAAGTGCAATTGTTTAAATAAGAGAAACAAAACTGAAATATTAAGCTTCACCCCATCTTAGAGGTATACTCACCACTGCATCCTGCTAAGTATACATATATACCAACGTCTCCATATTCTTTTACAATCTGTAATAATGTTGAAATAAAGTTTAGTTTCTCTTTACTCTGTGCCAGATGAAAGTCTCTTTTTACCATTGTTTTTCAGTGATAGAAGACACTCTAATTCATTCACTTGAGCTGCTTTGCTTCAATAATGATGTATTTTGAGCTAATCAATTAAAAATAATTTTGTATTTCTTTTGCTTTTTATGTGGGCAGTGATAATAAGGGGTAGCAAAAATACTGTTAAATTTTACTTAAGTATAATAAAACTATTATATTAACTTAAAAATATTATAATTTTAAAATTATAAACAAATTTTTTTAAGAGACAGCATCTCACTATTTTACTCATGCTGGTCTTGAACTCCTGAGCTCAGCAATCCTCCTGCTTCAGCCTCCTGAGTAGCCCAGCATATTACAGCAATGTTTTCTAAAACGAATATTCTTGTAGCAATAGATATTAAAATATTTACAGATGAAGTTATGACTGGGATGTGTTTCAAAATAAAAGAAGAGAAAGTGGATATCAGCTATAAAGGAAACCAGATTGACCGTAAGTTGATAATTGTTGAAGCTGAGTGATAGTTCATGGGGGTTCAATATACTAAAATCTTTACTTCTATATATTTTTGAAATTTTCCATAATCAAAAGGTGATAAACGGCAACAGAAGAGAATTTTAAGAGTTGAGAAGAAAGCCTAGTCCACCTCCCTGATTTTGCTGATAGTATGACATTGGACATAGAGGTGTTAAATGACTTGTTCAAGAGGATGCTTACCCCTGCCAGAGTTTTCACTCCAACAGAATCAATAAAATTGACTTGAGTGAAATCCAAAATGACAGTGTGGATGTTATCCCCTGGGGGCATAAATCTTTGCATTTCCTCAGGAAATGTGCTTTTGATCACTATTGGGGGATATTTTACTTCACCATCCTCTTCTTCCGGCTTGGTAGCATCTTCTCCATCTACTTGTGCATCCTGTGTCAAAAATTAAACCAAATCAGAATTCTATGAACAACTCACATTTCTGGTTGTGAGAAAGATTTATAATGGAAAATCTACCCTTGTATTCTTAAGCTACTGACTCTACCAGACCCCTTGTAAAATATTTGTCATATTCCAGCCTTGTAACTGAACAAAAAAAGGATGTATGTATAACTTTCCATTTTAACTCAATTTATTTTCTCTTTTTCCTTCTCCTCCTCTTTTTTTCTTGTCCAACAAAATCCACTCTCCTCAGTTATCTATCCATTTGCCGCTAACTTCTAAAATAGTTCCATTAACTTTAGTACGACGGCTCACACATTAGCATGCCTGAACAGCAAAAGCCAGCCTTTGAGCTTTTTAAACTACCAGCTGAATCAATCTACGACAAAGTGCTAATGGTAAAATCTGTTAAAGTACTGCCTAATTTTTATTTTTTCAAATGATGTTTCCTTACTTTTTTCAGAAACATCCTCATAACTGACCTTATCAGGTGCCTATAAAATATAGAGGATACTTAGGTGGTTTCTAAACCTTCCTCTTTTAGTAACTTCATACTGTGTTTAAACTTCAGTCATGAGTAAAGATGGAGGTCACTGAAGAACAAGACAGAAGGGAATATTTCAATGAAAAGACCACTCACCGCTTTGACAACAGTCGCGTTGGCCATATTTGCATTTCCGACTTCCTTAGCATACTTCCGCATGGCCTTTCTCCTTGCTCCCATGATGACTGCTGGGTTCACTCCAGTCTTTACAGAAGAGCAACATAAGCAAAATCACTTCATGGTGCTCAGAGACCCACCCCAATGCCACTCCCTTTCAAATCTCCCCATTTAACTGCTTTCTGTGTCAGGTTATCACCCCAACCCTTGCACTGCTTTTCCCTCAGAGGCATTAGTAGCCTTTCTTATTCTCAGTCTTTATTCAAGACAACCAGAAGCTAAAGTATTAAAGATAATTTTTAGAGCAGTCTTTATCAGGCTCAGATCTGTCAGGTTGTTATATTTAAGACACTCTGTGGGTTGATAGGGAGGTTTTCCTATATACTGGGTGGTGTAGGGTTGAATTCTAAATATGACCATAGGAATCTATATGATCCCAAGAGTAAGAAACCTAAACTTATTTTCTCACTTTTTCTTAAAATTTTTTTGGAAAGTTATATATATATATATGATAAGAGAGAATGAACAATGGTGATGGCTGCACAATGTTTATGTACTTAATGCCACCCACTGGACTGTATATTTTGAAAATGCTTAAAATAGTGTATTTTATGTTATGTATCTTTTACTACAATAAAAGGGAGAAACAAAGTGAAAATGAAATAGTATATACAAGGGTATTCTAGTGATCCTTATATCCCTGTCAACCCACAAATCCCATCCTCAGAAATAATCAATTTCTCATGACTCACCTTTCGTTTTAATGCATTGCTATACAAGTCACTATTTGCATAGTAAATTGGTGCATTTATTTGAAATATTTTTATTCCAGGAATTTCTTTCACCTGAAGAGTAAAATATTGCTGAATTTAACACATGGAAATATTTCAGAATGAAAACTGCATAGCCTCCCCACTCCAAATAGAAAATGAATGCAGAAGTTGCTAAGGTCTCCTTTTCAGGGCTTAGCTAACATAGTGTCACTCTAGCGCACACACACACACACACACACACACACACACACACAAAGATAAAAAAAGAAAAAAAAAGTCACTCTTATCTACTCATGCTCTGAACAGAACTGACAGAGACCTTTTAAACATGCACATCTTTCCATTTGTTTTAAAAGTCAGTCTTTGTTTTATTTTTACCATTAAACACAAAAAAGAAACTGAAAAATACTCAAAAACAGAAAAGAAAATGGATAGGAGATGGAAGGCTGCTGCCCAGACTGTGAGAGGCAGGCAAATAAAGTGAACAAGGATCCTAAATGGACACAAGTGAAACTGAGTGAATATTTGATCAAGAACCCTCGTGGAACTCTGGGAGGCAGGCTGGAAACAAGTAATCCTGCATATAATTCTTTGGATTGAGGAAAAAAATAGCAATTCTAACACCTTTACCTTAGAGTGAATTTTGTTTCCTCATTTTCTACTACCTTAGCGTGAGTCTGAGAATTTCTTCCCAAGCATAAGACAAGACAGACAGACAAAACTAGTTTTAAAAGATTTTGTAAAAATCTTTGAGATTCCACAGAAGAAAAGAACATTCAAAATCAAGGAAATCTGAAGCCATAATTTTAACCATTAAAATGAAGTGGGAGAATTCCACAGCCCCACCACCTACATTTTACACGGTTAAAATTATTTTACCATTGATTTACATTCATCAGAAAAAAACCATGCACACACAAACCATCCTTTCAGTTTCAATACTGTATAAATATATACTTTAATTTCCACAATATATACTTATTCCCATTAAAAAATGAGGAAAAATAAATATTGGAAATTGAGTAGTTAATGCATAGTATAAATTATAAAATTGAATCCATACAGTAGATCAAAGCTCAGACTTTTCACTTTGACCACTATGTCTCCCACCTTACCCCTACTTTTTGTCCTGGGTAAAAATGGTACTTAGCCAAGCACATCACATGCTTACAACCTTTTTAAATGATAGAAAAAGGTCCTACCTCCTCATATGCGTCTATATCAATATACACATCAGTTTCAGGAAGCTGTCCAAGGACTTTGTAGCTCGGACTGAAGACAGAGAGTGTTAAATACCATTGTGTTGAGGCACAGCGTGTGATTTCAACAGGAGGTTGTGTATGTTTGCGTCAGGTTGGGGTTTGCTAGTGCATTTGGGAATACTTGATCCTTACATATTATGTCCCCAGTGCCATTCCAAGCCTAACACACCCCACACACATCACACCACATACACATCACATGCCACACACACACACACACCACACATGATATGCACACACCATGTACATCTCATACTACACATATGCATCCCAATACCTACCTCACACACCACACACATACACAATACACACACTTACAATGCATACATACCACACACATATATACACACAATAAACACACACCACACATACAGAATACACAATTACATGATATACCACACATATACATACACACATGCATACATACCACATGTATAATACACAATACCTCCCACATGCATACACACACATACAATGTACACACACCATACATACATACCTCATATCACACACAATATACACACAATATATTACACATATATACGTCATACACACCATAGATATACTACACAATGCACACACCCCACATGCATACACACCATGCACATACATACCACACATGTGCAATACACACATACCACATGCACCTCATACCACTCACATGCTCCCACACACATACACAATACACACACAATGTATACACACCCCACATACCATACATACACAATACACACATCTATACATAATGCATGTACACCACACACATACATACACACAATGCATACACACCCCATACACATGCACAATACAAATACTTACACATAATGCATACACACCACAAAGACACACAATACACACACACCAGACATACACAATATACACAATCACACCATATACCATGCATACACATCCACACATGCATACAAAACACACACATACTACATGGCACACACAATACCATACACAATACATACTATATACCTCACACCACACACACCTCTACAGACATATACACACACACATGCATACACACCACACATGCAATATATAATACACACACCACACACATACATGTGTACACACCACACACATGCACACACTACACAGGCAATACACATACATGCACACACACGCATACATACCCCCCACACTACATGTCACACAATACCATACACAATACGCACACCATATACCCCTCATACCACACACACCCCCCCACATACATACACACATACACACCTGCATATACAACCTTCATGCCACATACATACACACACACACCTGCATATACAACCTTCATGCGAGACACAATACACACCACACACATGCATACACACACACACAATACACATACATACACATCACGCACTTATACACGTATCACATACACCTCACATATAACATCACACACACACACACATCACGTATACCTCACACCACATACACAATGCATATCACACACCCTATACGTCCCCTCCCTGCAACACCATACCACAAATATGATCTGATCAGGACAAAAGACTCAGGCATTTAGAGGTGGAGGCAACTCTGAATATTGCAGAGTTCAAGTTATGCCAGGGATATATGTAACACAAGTTCTCCTCATGCCACTCAGTAGACAGAACTGTCTTTCTGCTCTAACTCTAAAGTAGGAGAGGGAATTTTTGTTTGTTATTAGCAAGAATCACTGACTCATAGTAGGGGAGTAGTCAATTGAGGGCGTGGGGAGAAAATGAAAATCTCAAATTAGCATAGAAGTTTTCTTAATTTAGTCTGAATGGATTTTAAATATTATTTTTTGAGAGTCCTAATTTCTTTTTGGCACAGTCTTACTCTGTTGCCCAGACTGGAGTGCAGTGGTGCAATCTTGGCTCACTGCAACCTCTGCCTCCCGGGTTCAAGTAATTCTCCTGACTCAGCCTACCAAGTAGTTGGGATTACAGGTGTGCGCCACCACGCCCAGCTAATTTTTGTATTTTTAATAGAGACGGGGTTTCATCATGTTGGCCAGGCTGGTCTTGAACTCCTGACCTCAAGTCATCTACCCACCTCGGCCTCCCAAAGTGTCAGGATTACAGACAGGCATGAGCCACTGTGCCCACCCCTAATTCCTAACTCTTTGTAGGACCATCTGGCTCAAATTAGACACTGTAATAACGACAGATACATCTTGAACACCTGTTATTCTATCCTTTGAACAATGCTACTGGGCACTATTAATAATTAATATTATAATAATAGTTAACATTATTAACAATCCTGCTGTCATGTAAATGAGCAATTGAGGCTCAGTGGGATTAGGTGAGTTGTTCAAGGTGAGAAAGCTTGGCAGAGCCAGAATATGGCTCAAGGTCTTTGATTTGACATTCCACAGTTTTGCTACTATGTCCTGGTGCTTCTTAGCATGAATGTCAAAGTACTTTGTAAATTAGAATATACCACACAAGTGTTAGCTATTTTGCTGTATAGATTCCCTCCACAAGCATTCAGAGAACACAAATGATGTGCCTGGTACTAGACTCCAGGAACATCACTTTTACAGACAAGACGCTCACAGTCTAGTGATATCTATGGACAAATATGGTTCTGAGGACTGATACTGTAGATAAGGAGCCAAGGCTCTCAGCTGAGTTTGCGATTATGAGAAAACCTCTAAGAGACTCAAAGTGCCGTCCAAGTGTTGCAATCCAGTGCCGCAGGGGAGGCAGAGCAGGAGACAGGCACATGGATCACAAGTACACAACTAGCTGAGATGGACACATGCAAGGTGCTGGGGAAGGATCAGAGCATTGCTGTGGGTACCCAGGGGAAGTTGAGGTCCCTGACTGGGCCTCAAAGGATGAGGATTTCAAATGTAGAAGATGAACAGGCCTTCCTGATGATCTGCAGTGCCCTGGCACACCATTTCTGCAATACTATTGCTCGCAGTGAAGGCCAAGTCCTCACTACTTCCCTAATGACACCAAGAGCAAGAAAGTCTCTTTTAATGAAATCCCATGGGGTTTTATTTGGCTTTTCTTATGCTTATCACACTGTACCTTGCTTACACCTGTTGAGGCACTTATAACTGTGTATTCTAAGTCTTTAAAATTTTACTTTTGCTTTATTATTTGCTTATTTCTTTTTTAGAGATGGGATCTTGTTCTGTGGCCCACGCTGGAATGCAGTGGCCTGATCATGGCTCACTGTAGCCTTGAACTCCTAGGCTCCAGTGATCCTTGTGCCTCAGCCTCCTGAGTAGCTGGGACTATAGGTGTGCACCGCTACACCTCGCAAATTAAAAAAAAAATTTTGTAGGTTGGGTGCAAAGTCTGACACCTGTAATCCCAGCACTTTGGGAGGCTGAGGTGGGAGGAACACTTGAACCCAGGAGTTCAAGACCAGCCTCAGCATGATGGTGAGACCCCATCTCTACAAAAAATTTAAAAATTAGCCAGGTGTGATGGTGTGTGCCCATCATGGGAGGCTGAGATGGGAGGATCCCTTGAGCCCAGGAATTCAAGGTGGCAGTGAGCTGTGACCGTGCGACTGCACTGCAGCCCATGTGGCAAAGTAAAACTCTGTCTCTAAAAATAATAACATAAAAAATAATTTTTTTTTTTGGTAGAAGCAGGGTCTCATTATGTTGTCCAGGCGGGTCTCAAACTCCTGGCCTCAAGCAACCCTCCTGCCTTGGCTTCCCAAATTGCTGGGATTAGGGGCATGAGATGAGCCACTGTGTTTGGCCTATATTCTAATTTTTTGAAGATGGATTATGAAATGCTGATTGAGGCCAGGAGCGGTGGCTCACGCCTCTAATCCCAGCACTTTGGGAGGCTGAGGCAGGTGGATCACGAGGTCAGGAGTTCAAGACCAGCCTGGCCAAGATGGTGGAACCCCATCTCTACAAAAATTACAAAAAATTAGCTGGGCATGGTGGCAGGTGCCTGTAATCACAGCTACTCAACAGGATGAGGCAGAGGCAGAGGCAGAGAACTGCTTGAACCCGGGAGGCGGAGGTTGTAGTGAGCTGAGATCACACCACTGCACTCCAGCCTGGGCGACAGAGCATGATTTTGTCTTAAAAAAAAAAAGTGCTGATTGAGTCAGCTTCTGGATTTGTAAAAACTCACATCTGAGTCATTGCCTCACCACGTACTGTGATCTTGGGCAAGTTACCCAATCATTCTAGACTTCAGCGTCCACATCTGTGAAACAGGGTTGCTAACTGTCATTGGGTTATAAGATTATATGAAACGACATAAAGCATTGATCTTTGCACAGAGCCACGCACATAAGTAATTATAATAATTTGTGCCATCCTTACTTCATTGTCCTTATTAACACCATCATCATGATAATGTGTTTGTCATCCTTAGGACAATGCAACCTTTGAGGGGAAGGACCATGTCTTATATACTGCACTGTCCCCAGAGTCTAGCATCTCCCTGGGAATATAATGGGCCTCAACAAGTATCTATTTAGTGAAATTATAATTTTTTAAATTTTATAATGCTAACCAAATTGTGAGCTTTGCGGGGGAGAAGCTGAACCTCTGTCACATTTATAACACTTGCAAGTGCCCGAGTTCAGGAACTATCTGCAGAACGATGTGATTTGTCTCTCTTTGTTGTTGTTGTTGTTGTTGTTGTTGAGGCAGACTCTCGCTCTGTCACCCAGGCTGGAGTGCAGTGGCACAATCTCGGCTCACTGCAAGCTCCGCCTCCTGGGTTCACGGCATTCTCCCGCCTCAGCCTCCCCAGTACACCTTCCACTGCAACCTCTGCCCCCCAGGCTCAAGTGATCCTTCCACCTCAGCCCTCCAAGTAGCTGGGACCACAGTGTGCACCACCACGCCCGGTTAATATTTTGTACTTTTGGTATGGATGGGGTTTTACCAGGTTGCCCAAACTGGAGTTTTTTAAGTTTTTTTTTGAGATGGGCTCTTACTCTTTCATCCAGGCTGGAGTGTAGTGGTGTGATCTTGGCTCACTGCAACCTCAGTCTCTCCGGTTTAAGCTATTCTCCCGCCTCAGCCTCCTTAATAGCTGGGATTACAGGTGTGCGCCAACACACCTAGCTATTTTTTTTGTATTTTTAGTAGAGATGGGGTTTCACCATGTTGGCCAGGCTGGTTTTGAACACCTGACTTCAAATGATCCACCTGCCTCAGTCTCCCAACTGCTTGGATTACAGGTGTGAGCCACTGTGCCCAGCCCAAACTGCAGCGCCCGCCACCACGCCTGGCTGACTTTTGTAATTTTAGTAGAGATGAGGGTTCACCATGTTGCCCAAGCTGGTCTCGAACTCCTGACCTCAACTGATCTGCCTGCCTCAGCCTTCCAAAGTCCTGGGATTACAGGAGTGAGACACCACACTTGGCCAAAAGTTACAGATATTTTAAAACCATAATGTTCACCAAAGTTCTGAGATAAAGAACTCTTATATATACTAATAATGTTCTTTATAAAAATGGGAAACACTTCTTTTAGATAAATATGGGCAACAGCATTGGAACTTGTTATTAAAAGTAGTTAAATTCTTATCTTGAGTTTAGAATCCCACATATTCTTAACATTTTTCTGTTATGTCATTTGTGATGATGAAAGAGCTCATCTCCCACCCTTGAGGGTAGGGAGCATCCTGACATCCTGCAGATAAGGGGTCAACATCCTCATAAAGTGCCCTTTCAACACACCGCAGTCACAACTTGAAGATTTCATGTGATTTGCAACCACAGGCAAAACACACTAGCTTCATTTTCATTTCCCTGTGTGAAAGCGGGAAGGGCACTGGCATTGGGAGAGTGTGTGGCACTTCTCAGGCACTGTGCTGGCTGTTTGTAGGCCTTGTCATTTAAACCTTATTGTAACTATATGAGGTAGAAAGTATTAGTCCCATTTTATAGATGCAGAAACAGGCTCTGAGAGGTATGCAAAATCACAGAGCTTACAGAGGTGCTGCCAGGACCTGACTAAAGTCCAGGCTATTTCTATTTTATTTTTAAACTTTGAGATGGAGTTTTGCTCTTGTTGCCAGGATGGAGTGCAATGGCATGAACTCGACTCACTGCAACCTCCGCCTTTCAGATTCAAGTGATTCTCCTGCCTCAGCCTCCTGAGTAGCTGAGATTACAGGTGCACGCCACCACACTCAGCTAATTTTTTGTATTTTTAGTAGAGACGGGGTTTCACCATGTTGGCCAGGCTGGTCTCGAACTGCTGGCCTCATGATCTGCCCACCTCAGCCTCCCAAAGTGCTGGGATTCAAGGCAAAAGCCACTGCACCTGGCCAGTCCAGGCTATTTCTATGACAATGTTTCCTTTTCACCTTTATGGTGATTTGTCATAAAAAGTTTTTGTTTTTGTTTTTGTTTTTTTGATAGAGACAGAGTTTTGCTATGTTGCCCAGGCTGGTCTTGGCCTCAAGTGATCCTCCCACCTCAGACTTCCAAAGTGCTGGAATTGGGATTACAGGTGTGAGCCACCACGCCCAGCCCATAAATATATATATATATATTTTTTTAGATGGAGTCTTGTTCTGTTGCCCAGGCTGGAGTGCAGTGTCTCAATCTCGGCTCACTGCAACCTCCACCTCCTGGGTTCAAGCAATTCTCCTGCCTCAGCCTCCCAAGTAGCTGGGATTTCAGGTGCACGCCACCACACCTGGCTAATTTTTTTTGTATTTTTTTTTTTTTTTTTTTTGAGACCGAGTCTGGCTCTGTGGCCCAGGCTGGAGTGCAGTGACGCGATCTCAGCTCACTGCAAGCTCCAGCTCCCGGGTTCACGCCATTCTCCTGCCTCAGCCTCCCGAGTAGCTGGGACTACAGGCGCCTGCCACCACGCCCCGCTAATTTTTTGTATTTTTAGTAGAGATGGGGTTTCACCTTGTTAGCCAGGATGGTCTCGATCTCCTGACCTCATGATCCGCCCGTCTCAGCCTCCCAAAGTGCTGGGATTACAGGCTTGAGCCACCGCGCCCGGCCTTTTTTTTGTATTTTTAGTGGAGACGTGGTTTTACCATGTTTGTCAGGCTGGTTTTGAACTCCTGACCTCATGTGTTCTGCCTGCCTTGGCCTCCGAAAGTGCTGGGATTACAGGCGTGAGCCACTGTGCCCAACCATATTTTTTCAAAAGTTATTTTATACTTTCCCTAGTGGGCTCAGCTTCCTACTAGGGAGAAGAGATAACAGGGATAGTGGTTCAGGGTGGAGGAAAGGACAATGGAAGGACCGCAAATGATAACTTGGTGTCAGAGTTTGCTTCATGTCATTGAAACCCATGTCCGTACCTGGTGCCAAAACAAACTACAAGAGGGTAAATAAACCTGCATAGCACTAGACCGGGAATGGCAGAAACAATGATGGAAATTAGGCTCTTTTAACATAACCATTGATGGGAGCATAAATTGTGACACAGTAGAGCATTTGGCAAAATTATATGGAATTTTTTAATTGGCATTTTGTTCATTTAGTCAACAGGCTACATGAGTGTTACAACTCCCTCTCACACTAACTAGAAATCATCAAAGGGCTCCACTTTTACCAACTTAAAATTTGGTCTACACTCAAAGTCAACATTGTAATCTCTGCCGGGATACTCACACCCATTCAAATCTGGGCACTCACCTCTGTGTTCTGTAAATCACAGTCAGCAGAGCAATGATCACAGCGGTGATCAAACCATAGTCCAATCCCAGGAACAAGGAGGACACAAAAGTGGTAAGCCAGATGGTCTAAGTAAAAGACAGAAAGCTTGATGAAGAACCATGTTAAACATCCCACAAGAGGCAAACACGCAACTAACTGTGCACACACACATGCTACTTTTACCTTGCCTAACTGGATACTGCACATAACAACTGCATTAACTTATCTTTCTCACATTTTTCTTAGCATAATCATATTTGCTCTATGACATATTAACACAGCCATCACCTTTGTTACTTACCAGCTCTATTTTGCTGGTTCTCCAGAAAAAGGGGAGATCTGAGAACTGCATAAACATTCCCTTCAGGTTGACAATCACAATGGCGGACAGCACAGCCTGAAACAGAGCACATCCCCCATGCCTCTCCTCTTGTGTCCACAGAGTACCCTTTGCTGGTTCCTCACTGTCCTCCTGCTGTCCTCCCCATGTCTTCTCCCTACTCACTTCCTATATGGCACTGATGGTAGCTTTGAAGCCATGGACACCTGGATTTTCAGGACCTGGTTAGCTAAAAGGGACCTTGGAAAATCAGTCTTTTTTTTTTTTTTTTTGAGATGAAGTCTTGCTCTGTCACCCAGGCTGGAGTGCAGTAGTGCAATCTTGGCTCACTGCAACCTCTGCCTCCCAGGTTCAAACAATTCTCCTGCCTCAGCCTTCTGAGTAGAGTAGCTGAGACTACAAGCACATGCCACCACACTCAGTTAATTTTTGTATTTCTAGTAGAGACAGGGTTTCACCATATTGGCCAGGATGGTCTTGAACTCCTAACTGCAGGTGATCCGCCCGCCTCGGTCTCTCAAAATGCCAACTGCAGGTGTGAACCACCACACCCGACCGGAAATCAGTCTGATATCCTAATAGCAAACCTGCATGGTGGCCAAGAGGTTCAGAATTAAACTTGGTACTCAAGGAATTATTTCACCTATGGTCTTTCTACATTATGATCGTCTCTACTCTATATGGTTTCTGATCTCTACTAGATTAAATGTATCATCATGTAACTATCTTATGAGTATAGGCCACCTCAGATTTTTTAATGAAAGTGTAAGGTCATAGAAGGTCAAAGAGAGAAGGGACGTTCAAGATCAGCCAGTCCAAACTCTGACGCTGCAGATAAGGAAACTGAGACTCAGAGGAGTTAAGATGGCTTTCCCCAGTTCCTGCAGGCAGCTGTCAGTAGGTTACAGAGCAGGATCTTGGTCCTAGCCTTGGCCCTTTCTCATGCCATCCTGTGAGGGTTACAGTAAATAACCCTAATATAGCCATAAAAACATAAATAAAATAGCAAAATCTCTACACATGAAAAAAACTTCACCCAAGTCCACATTATACACACCTGGGGCAATGATTCAAAGAGGAATCCAGTTGCTAATATGACCAGCAGAATCATTAATGAGGCCAAACAACCTGCAAGCTGAATGGGAGAAGACACATGGAAGGGGCTTTTAGGAGACCTGAATAAGAGGCAGGGCATAAGTCGGTTTTATTCTTTTGATAATTACTACGGGAAGATCAAGAAAATAAGCATTCAAATAAGTCAACTAAACCACTACATACCTATAGCTCCATCCCACTCCCTCTCTGAAGTTTTGGTTCTTCTTATGGCTTTTAAATGGAAGCTGAAATGCTGAAATACCCTAATTAAAATGCCCTTTCCAGAGGTAGGGGAAAGATATCTGGTGTCAATCTGAGACCCACAAAGGCCACCAGAAGAGTTCAGGTAAGTGTCTGTTGTCCAATATAGGAGCCAGTAGCCACATGTGGTCATTTCATTTTTTTTTTTTTTTTTGAGACAGAGTATCACTCTGTTGCCAGGATGGAGTGTAGTGGCGCAACCTCGGCTCACTGCAAACTCTGCCTCCCGGGTTCAAGTGATTCTCCTGTCTCAGCCTTCTGAGTAGCTGGGACTACGGCGCCTGCCATCACGCCCAGCTAATTTTTGTATTTTTAGTAGAGACGGGGTTTCACCATGTTGGCCAGGATGGTCTCGATCTCCTGACCTTGTGATCCGCCCGCCTAGGCCTCCCAAAGTGCTGGGATTACATGTGTGAGCCACTGCACCCTGCCGGCCATTTACATTTTTAAAAATTAAAAGTCAGGTCTTGGTCGAACTAACCACATTTCAAGTGCTCAAGAGACACATGTTGCTAGTGGCTGCCATATTGGACAGTGCAGATATTGAACATTTCCATCACTGTGGAAAGTTCTACTGGATGGTGCTGGCATACCGCTCACACTCAGTCTCAGGCTTTCATGAACAACATCCCATGTCTGAACTTTGAGGTTTACTGTTAGCCGAGCATTGCATAACTTTCCAATTTAACTGGAGAATACACCTCTTTCCTATAGATTCAGTTCCTTGTGATTCACTTCAACCAATCATGCCTTTCTCTGATTCACTATACAGCTCACTGGAGCATGGATCTGCAGGCAGAGTAGCTTTGTTTGGGTTCAGAATATAATCAAAAGATTAAAATTTAATTACCACCCATATCACCAGGTCTTAGAGGCCTGTTATGTACACACCTGTGTCTTCCCACCAGTTCCCTCCTGAACAAGGCTTCGAGACAAGGAGCATGAAATTGAAAAGGTCTGGAAGAGTGAGCCAATGGAATTGCACAGTCCCAGGGCAATGAGCTCCTTTTCCATGTAGAAACAAAACACAAAAGAGATAGGTCATTCTTCAGGAAAAAAAGCATAATAGCCCATTTAATACACATTGTCAGCACTACAGTCTATCTCTTCATTTTCCTTTCAGATGTAAGAATTTGTTTAGCACGAGTTCAAAATAGGAATTATGGCATATTTTATAGTAGGGGGGGAGGAAATACTTTGAATTTTTATGTCAGAGATAAATACTGGGCTCCCTGCTTAGCGTCCTTCTTTCCAAACACATCCTCTACAAAATCTTCTTAATGCTTAAGAAGAAAACTGCACGAAAAGGGACAAACTATTTTTATTGAGAAAGTTATTGTTGTATAGGACTCTTGGCATCTTTTTAATGCCTGGGCTATTGCTCATCAATGAATACATGCCAGTGTCTTCCTGGGGCGAGTCCTGCTCTTAGGTTTACTTTGGGTATTTCTAGTTTGACAACTGCATCTCAGATGAATGTAGAGCATCTAGTTTCTCCTTAGAATACATAAGGTATTGAAATAGACATTGTTATGTCAACATTATAGGTCACAGTGTTTGGATTAAACACCTATCTATGGCTGTGTTATAAAGTAGGTGACAAAGAGAATATTGTGGAGTTAGTGATGAATCATATACCCAACATTTAATGAACAAAGATAAGCCTTCCTGGGGAGCAAAAACGCCCTGGAAAAACATTTAATTCTAAGCTGTGAGCTTTAAGAATAGGGATAACATTACAGGTTGAATAAATACATGCTTCAGATACATCAATCACCAGTAAAAAAAAGTTTTTCTACCAAGATAGATTAGTTCTTGTGCCTTCCACAACTGACGTTGGTGATTGTACTGCTATGAAACATCTGCAGGAAACTGATTATCTTTACCTGATTGCCGTCAACCTGGTAGCCATGTTTATTTGCTAAGGTCTTGGCCATGGAGATGGTCACTGAAAATCCAACGATGGCTATGGCAATGGCATCTACGTACACAAGGTGGAAGAGGCTGGTGTCCGGATTGGCTGGAGGTAGCAGCCTGAAAAGTCAAGCTGACTTTAACTTGTGTTGTGACCACAAGGGAAAAGAAAAAAAAAAACCCTGCGACTGCAGGGAAGCATTTTAGGGGGGTATTATCTGCAAATGAGGTGATCAATGTTTGGGTACTTATTTGCTCTGGTTAGCAAAAAGGAGGGCCCTCCTTGACACAGAGAGGATCTTTTCAGGCTCAAACTGCAGAGTGCAGCTTTCTACCTGGATGGGTTATCAGAAGACATCAGATGCCGTTTTATTTATAAAAGGAGTAACCTCATACCTCATGGTACCATAATGGCAAGTGTAAGACACAGAAAGCAGGAAGAAGAGAGGGTCAGCAAAGTGCTCGGATGCCACCAGGCATCTGAACCCAAGTCCTGGGGTGGGGAGGAGCGTAGTCTAAGGGCTACCTTAGAGGAGAATTAATGTCCTGGCAATGCTAGGCACCCCATACTTCTCCCCCTTGTCATCTGATGTAAGGACTCTGAGTCTGCTACCTCTTCCTGTTTTTTTTTTTTTTTCTCCTAACCAATTAGCTGAGTTTGTAACACGGGAAGGGAGCAGCAGAAGACTATACTCCTTGGGTGTCACCTAGGAATCTTTTGAATTTGGAGGAGACAAAAGTATGACTCCTGGAATCCCACAATGGAGAACTCAGCTTTTGTGGTACATACTTGTAGTCTGGGATTCTTATCCTAAAGAAACAGAATACGGATTCCCTAGCATGTTATGGGGAGAAGTGGGCAATAGGAATTTTCAGACACTCTGCTCCAATTCAAGGCATTGGGCTAAACAATAATAGCAATAACTTAACTGATACTAATAATTATGATTATTACAATAACAAGCATTCATTACGTGCCTTCTCTTTGCCAGGTTCTGTGCTCATTTAATTATTTTCAATGGCCCGGTGAACTAGGCACCATTATAATTTTACAGATGAAGAAAATGAGGCATAGTGGGGTTCAGCAACTTGTACAAGGACAAGCAGCTCATCTACCAAGTACAACAAAACCATGAAGAACCTGCTTGGCTACAGCTATTTCTCTTACTATGTCATAGCGCAGTGACGGAAGGGATGTTTCACGTCATGGAGTAAGGAAAGAGCGGAAGAAAGGGAAAGGAACCTAGTGTCTATTAAGGTGAGTTTACCTGCTACATACTTTACATAAGTCGTCTCATTTTTCCTCACAGCACTCCCATTACATAGGTTCCACTATTATCCCAATTTATAGGTGAATAAATAGATTTTGACAGACGTTAAGTGATTTTCCAAAATGGAGCAGGGAGTCAAACCTGGGGGGTCTGACTATAAAATCTGTTGTCCTTCCCTGCTGTTTGCTGCACAGGCATGAACTAAGAGGGAAGGCCTAGGAGCAGGTTTGGGCCTAAGGGAATAAGAATATAAGAAAAGGACATATTTTGGAATGAGTTAAGGAAAGTAAATAAACAAACAAGAAAACAGGATACAGTGCTATGACTGGGATCTTTAATAGTCAACTGTCACTTTCTGGGCACTGCAAAATGCACTGCTCATCTACCACGTATGACAAAACCACAAAGAACCTGCTTGTCTATAGGAGATGCATTTATATATGTATGTATGTGTATATAGAAGCGTGGTAGTTTGCTTCCATTCCTCCCATACATAATTACATGTGCATGACACTCCCCCAATCTAGATGTGGAATCTGTTTCCCCTCCAGCTATATCTGGGCTGGCCTCATGATTTGCTTTGAGCAACAGGATGTGGTGGAAGTGATGCTGTATGAGTGCCTTAAGAGGCCTGGTAAATTCTCTGCTTTTCTTTCCTGTTGCTCTGAGCCCCCATGTAAAGAGGTCTGGCAATGCTGCTGAAGATACCACTTGTAGAGAAGATGCCAGCCAGCCCTCACCTGTTCCAGTCACTCCAGCTGAAGTGTCAGACATGTGAGTGAAAGCCCTCTTGGATCCTCCAACACTAGTCACACCTGCAGACATCTGCAGATGCATAAAAAACCCCAAGTGAGACCTGCCAAAGAACCACCCAACTGAGCCTAACCTAGTCTAAATAATTATGAGCAAACTAATGGCAGCTGTTTCAAGTCACTGTTTTGGGGTAGTCTGTTATCAGTGGTCTTTTTTTTTTTTTAAGTTAAGCTGTCACATATAGAAGGGAAGCAGTATGTTTGAGTACAATGCAATAGGAAAAGGAAGGTATTAAGTAGAAAGTATAGTGACAAGTAGAGGTATATATATATATATATATATATATTTTTTTTTTAAAGATGGTATTTCACTCTTGTTGCCCAGGCTAGAGTGTCATGGCATGTGTGATCTTGGCTCACGGCAACCTCTGCCTTCCGGTTTCAAGTGATTCTCCTGCTCAGTCTCCCAAGTAGCTAGGAGCGCCTGACACCACATGCAGCTAATTTTTGTATTTTTACTAGAGACGGGGTTTCACCCTGTTTGCCAGGCTGGTCTGGAACTCCTGACCTCGTGATTCGCCTGCCTTGGCCTCCTAAAGTGCTGGGATTACAGGTGTCTGCCACCATGCTCGGCCAATAATATGTTTTTAAAATGTACAGTTAGAAAATATAGATGAAGCAAAGAAGTAACATGATTAGAAGCTAAAAACTCATTGAAATAACAGTCTTAGAACCCATTACTAATAAGTAATTCACATGACTTGAATGCTGTGTATTCAGGTGTTCACTCACTCCCTTCCATGCATTATCTCCTGTAGTTCTCACAACTGCCCTTGAGATAAGCACTAATTACCACGCCCACCTGGCAGGTGAGGAAACAGGCTTTGAGAAGATAAGTGGCCTGCTTAAGGTCACACAGCTAGTACGTGGCAGGCTAGGATTTAGGTTGTTTTGCTCTTAAATCCTATGTCACTCAAGGAGAGATTTTTAAAACTATTAAATTTAGGAAAACAAAAGAAAACAGAAAACCACTTGCCACTATTGGTGGGATTGTAAAATGGTGTAACTGCTATGGGAAATAGTATGAAAGGCTCTCAAGAAAGTAAAAACAGATCCAGCAATCCCACTTACAGGCATATACCCAAAAGAACTGAAAGAAAGGTCTCGAAGACATATTTGCACACCCATATCCACAGCAGGAATATTCACAATAGCCAAGAGGTAAAGGCAACCCACATGCTCATCAATGGATGCATGGAGAAATAAAATACAGTATATATCCACAATGGAATATTATTCAGCCTTAAAAAAGGGAAGAAAATACTGCCATATGCTACAATATAGACAAACTCTGAAGACATTATGCTAACTGAAATAAGCCAGTCACAAAAAGACAAATGTTGTATGATTCCACTTACATGAGGTATCTAGAGAAGTCAAATTCATAAAAACAGAAAGATGAATGGTGGTTAGTAGGGGTTGGGGGAAGAAGAAAAGAGGAAGCTCTTGTTTCAGGGGTACAGAGTTATAGATTTGCAAGGTGAAAAAGTTCTGGAGATCTGTTTTACAATAATGGGAATATATTTAACACTACTGAAATGTACACTTAAAAATGATTAAGATTGGTTGGGCACGGTGGCTCATGCCTATAATCCCAGCACTTTGGGAGGCTGAGCTGAGTGGATCACTTGAGGTCAGTAGTTCGAGACCAGCCTGGCCAACATGGTGAAACCCTGTCTCTATTAAAAATACAAAAATTAGTCGTGTGTGGTGGCACATATCTGTAATTCCAGATACTCAGGAGGCTGAGGCAGGAGAATCACTTGAACCCTGGAGGCAAGAGGTGGGCAGATGAGGCCGAGATTTGTGCCATTGCATCTAACCTGGGCAAAAGAGTGAGGACTCGGTCTCAAAAAAAAATCAAAAAAAAAAAGAAAAAAAAAGAGCAGCGCAAGTGGCTGCACACCTGCGAATCCAGCATTTGGGAAGCTGAGGTGGGGATCATCTGGAGGTTCAGCAGTTTGAGGGACCAGCGGCGGCAATGGAGAAAACCTCGTCTCATAGGAATAATCACAAATTGCCGCCGCGCAGGTGGCTCAGGCGCTGTAATCCCAGTTGGAGGCTGAGCGGGGTTGATTCACCGGAGATCAGGAGATCGGAGACCATCCTGGGCTACACGGCTGATAAACCCTGGTCTCTGATTAAAACACAAAAAAATGTACTGGTGTAGGTGGCGAGCCTATAGTTCCAGCTATTGGGAGTCTGAGGCAGGAGAATGGGCCTATGACCCAGGAGGCGTGGAGCTTGCAGCGAACTGAGAGTCGCGCCACTGCACTCCAGGGCGCGGGTGACAGCAGTGGACTTGTCTTAAAAAAAAAAAAAAAAGCCGGGCGCGGTTGGGCTCCAAGCCTGTAATCCCAGCACGTTGAGGCCGAGCGGTGGATCACGTAGCTTTCTGTTGTGCTTGCCTTGTTGTGTTCTCTGATGATTGTCTGATACCATTCCTGGGTTTTTCTTTATACATGAGTGGAACTTTCCCGGCTTTACTAATTAGGATACAAAAATATTCTTTTTTAGGCGGTGTCTGGTTTGGTGGCGCGTTATTTTTTGCGCCTGTAGTCCCTGCTACTCGGCAGTGCTGGAGGCAGGAGGAATGGAGTGAAACCTGGGGGAGGCGGAGCTTGCAAGTGAGCTGGGAGATCGCGGCCATGCATCCAGTTGGATGGTGACACAGCGGCGAGGACTGCGCCGTCTCAAAAACAAAAAAAAAAAAATTAGCCGGCTGTGACAGCACACGCCTGTAATCCCAGCTACTTGGGAAGCTGAGGCAGGAGAATTGCTTCAACCCGGGAGACGGAGGTTGCAGTGAGCCGAGACGGTGCCACTGCACTACAGCCTGGGTGTCAGAGCGAGACATCGTCTCAAAAAAAAAAAAAAAAGTTTAGACAAAATTTTGTTATGTGTTTTTTACTACAATAATACTAAAAATAAAATGCACCCAATGATTATTTTTCATTGCAAGAGTACTAAAGTAAGAGGTAGAGGCAATAGATCCATTGATTATGGTTACTTAAAACTACTTTCCTACCCTAGAGGAAGTGTTCCAACGACATCCACATTGTATGATTCTTTCAAGTTAAACCCAGCTGAAATGCCAGTTCCCATTACCACCTAAAAAGACACAAATCCAAATGCACCTTTAGAGATGAATGTTCAAATACTGCAAAAATCAGCTTCAAATATGTTAGTCAAGTCAAATCTATTCTCACTTTTAACATTCAGATTTAAAAAGAATTACCATTAGCTTCAACAATTCTAACTTCTCTTAATGACCCACCCCACATAATTAAAATGAACTCTACAGTTTATGACCTGGAATTTTCTTCATGCTTTGTCCTTTTCTCCACTGAGGTGTCTGGCTACTTGACTGCAACAGAAAAAGGTCATAAAACCTTTCAAACGTTGACCTTACCTTTAGGGTGGTGAAATGAGTCTGTGGCCACAACGTTATAAATAAAGGATATTTAACTCTGTGCTTTGAGGGTGGTAAAATGACACTGTATGATTACAAAACGTACATCTGGATTTAGAATCTTCCTGGTGATCCTGTTTCCAGGACAGCAGCCCCAAGTGTGGTGATAGGGCCCCAGCAGCAACCCATAGCTGTCTCCTCCCATTTCAGCTACAAAGTCAGGGTAGAACTGTACATCAAACAGAGGGTCACGGTACATAAGGCCATCCTGGATTGGCAGGGCATAGATTTACTTGGGGTGTAAAGTACAATCTCTCATGAGTTACAAGAGAAACATAACAAAAGGTGAGATAGCAATTTGCTCCATGCCCAGGAACTATTGCCTATAGAGCTTTCTGAGAGAGTTATCCAACAGAGAAGAAATCAGAGCTGGCCAGGGAAGGAAGCCAGTCCCTCCTGAGGAGGGCCACTGCAGGAAACAAATAATAAGGTAAGCTTATTATCAGAAACAGCAGCCTGGGAGACCAGGGGCATGGGGGATTCTGGCTCTTTTGATGGAAGGATCCGTTTCTGTTGAAGACAATTATTTTCATCACCCTTAATTGCATTTTTTGTGCATCTCTAACTAGGGGAGTGCCTCGAATATTTAAATCCACACAATATATATGGCTTAAGCTCCTGGAGCTTTACTTTTATACAGTGGTAAGTAATTTAAACCATTGTTTTCTTATTAACACAAATAGATGTATTATAAAATTGAATGCAAAACTCAAAAAATATTTTTATAATAAAAAATAAATTTGACAGTTAAAGGGAGTCATAAAGATGCTGTCCCTAAGCTTTCTAGAATTCTGGGAAACCATTACCCTGGGAAACATGGAAAAGCCTTTAAAGGGAATCTAGGAAACAGAATTAGTAACCCAAAGCAGGAGAGGCAAGCTGTGTCATTTACTTCATAACTGGGGCTTGCCTGCCTTCTTTCCCTCGCAAGGGTGCTCAGAACCTTTTGCTGTACTCCAAGTCAAAACGGGAACTCTGTGCCTAGCCCCAGTGAGAGAAGAGGTTTTGAAACTGTTAGAGATATATTTTGTTTTGTTTTGCCTGTTAAAAGGTACTAATGCCATATAGACAAGACTGAAAAAAAGAAAAAGTTTGAAGGTATTGGTTTCCTTGTGAGCTACACCAGCCAGTTGTTTTCATAGCTAGAACTTTTTCTATAATTTGGATCAGACACCTATACTCTTCATTTCTTTTTTAAATATTTAAATTTTTTATTTTATTATACTTTAAGTTCTGGGATACATGTGCAGAACGTGCAGGTCTGTTACATAGGTATACACGTGCCATGGTGGTTTGCTGCACCCATAAACCCGTCATCTACATTAGGTATTTCTCCTAATGCAATCCCTCCTCATGCCCCCCACCCATGGACAGGCCCCAGTGTGTGATGTTCCCCTCCTTGTGTCCATGTGTTCTCATTGTTCAACTCCCACTTGCGAGTGAGAACATGTGGTGTTTGGTTTTCTGTTCCTATGTTAGTTTGCTGAGAATGATGGTTTCCAGCTTCATCCATGTCCCTGCGAAGGACAGGAACTCATCCTTTTTTATGGCTGCATAGTACTCCATGGTATATATGTGACACATTTTCTTTATTTAGTCTATCATTGATGGGCATTTGGGTTGGTTCCAAGTCTTTGCTATTGTGAATAGTGCTACAATAAACACACGTGGATGTGTCTTTATAGTAGAATGATTTATAATCCTTTGGGTATATACCCAGTAATGGGATTGCTGGGTCAAATGGTATTTCTAGTTCTAAATCCTTGAGGAATCGCCACACTGTCTTCCACAATGGTTGAACTAATTTACACTCCCACCAACAGTGTAAAAGCATTCCTATTTCTCCACACCCTCTCCAGCATCTGTTGTTTCCTGACTTTTTAATGACCACCATTCTAACTGGCATGAGTTTGTATCCCATTATGGTTTTGATGTGCATTTCTCTAATGACCAGTGATGATGAGTTTTTTTTCATATGTTTGTTGGCTGCATAAATGTCTTCTTTTGAAAAGTGTCTATTCATATCCTTTGCCCACTTTTTGATGGGGTTATTTCTTTCTTGTAAATTTGTTTAAGTTCCTTGTAGATTCTGGATATTAGCCCTCTGTCAGATGGACAGGTTGCAAAAATTTTCTCCCATTCTGTAGGCTGCCTGTTCACTCTGCTGATAGCTTCTTTTGCTGTGCAGAAGCTCTTTAGTTTAATTAGATTCCATTTGTCAATTTTGGCTTTTGTTGCCATTGCTTTTTTTGTTTTAGTCATGAAGTCTTTGCCCATGCCAATGTCCTGAATGGTACTGTCTAGGTTTTCTTCCAGGGTTTTTATGGTTGTAGGTCTTAACGTTTAAGTCTTTAATCCATCTTGAGTTAATTTTTGTATAAGGTGTAAAAAAGGGGTTCAGTTTCAGTTTTCTGCATATGGCTAGTCAGTTTTCCCAACACCATTTACTAAATAGGGAATCATTTCCCCATTGCTTGTTTTTGTCAGGTTTGTCAAAGATCAGATGGTTGTAGATGTATGGCATTATTTCTGAGGCCTCTGTTCTGTTCCACAGGTCTATATATCTGTTTTGGTACCAGTACCATGCTGTTTTGGTTACTGTAGCCTTGCAGTATAGTTTGAAGTCAGGTAGCGTGATGCCTCCAGCTTTGTTCTTTTTGCTTAGGATTGTCTTGGCTATGCGGGCCTTTTTTTGGTCCCATATGAAATTTAAAGTAGTGTTTTCTAATTCTGTGAAGAAAGTCAATAGCAGCTTGATGGGGATAGCATTGAATGTATAAATTACTTTGGGCAGTATGACTATTTTCACAATATTGATTCTTCCTATCCATGAGCATGGAATGTTTTTCCATTTGTTTGTGTCCTCTCTGATTTATAGTTCTCCTTGAAGAGGTCCTTCACATCCCTTGTAAGTTGGATTCCTAGGTATTTTATTCTGTTTGTAGCAATTGTGAATGGGAGTTCACTCATGATTTGGCTGTTTATTTGGTGTATAGGAATACTTGTGATTTTTGCACCATTGATTTTGTATCCCGAGAATTTGCTGAAGTTGCTTATCAGCTTAAGGAGGGCTTTGGGGCTGAGATGATGGGTTTTTCTAAATATACAATAATTGTCACCTACAAACAGAGACAATTTGAACTTCCTCTCTTCCTATTTTGAATACCCTTTATTTCTTCTTGCTGATTTCCTGGCCCAGAAGTTGCCCCCCCCAATACTATTGTTGAATAGGAGTAGTGAGAGAGGGCAATCCTTATCTCATGCTGGTTTTCAAAAGGGAATGCTTTCCAGTTTTTGCCTATTCAGTGTAATATTGGCTGTGGGTTTGTCATAAATAGTTCTTATTATTTTGATATGTTCCATCAATACCTCATTTGAGAGTTTTTTAGCTCGAAGGCTGTTGAATTTTCTCGAAGGCCCTTTCTGCATCTATTGACATAATCATGTGTTTTTGTCACTGGTTTTGTTTATGTGATGGGCTATGTTATGATTTGCGTATGTTGAAACAAGCCTTGCATCCCAGGGATGAACCTGACTTTGATCCATGGTGGATAAGCTTTTTTAATGTGCTCCTGGATCAGTCTGCCAGTATTTTTTTGAGGATTTTGCATTGATGTTCATAAGGGATGTTGGCCTGAAATTTTCTTTTTGTTGTTGTTGTGTCTCTGCCAGGTGTTGGTATCAGGATTGATGTTGGCCTAATAAATTGAGTTAGGGAGGATTCCCTCTTTTTCTATTGTTTGGAGTAGTTTTCAGAAAAGGAATGGTACCAGCTCCTCTTTTGTACTCCTGTAGAATTCGCTGTGAATTCGTCTGGTCCTGGAGTTTTTTTTTTTTGGTTGGTAGGCTATTAATCGGCTGCCTCAATTTCAGAACTTGTTAATTTGGTCTATTCAGGGATTC